TAACTTTCAATCTAATTTCAGATGACTTTTCAGGCCAGCCCTTTCGCGGCGCTCCCAACAGTGGCGATCTGATGTGTGCCGTAGTGTGGCGACTTCCTTCGGGATCAGTCTCTTCGTGGTAAGTCCTTCTGCGGCCAGTCCTTTCCCCGCCATTCCTTTCGTGTCCAGTCCTTTTACGGCCAGTTCTTTTGCCACCAGTCCTTTCGCGACACCCACAGCAGCTGCGATGTGATGTGTGTCGCAGTGTGGCCACTCCTTTCGCAATCAGTTCCTTCGTGGTCAGTCCTTTTTCGGTCGGTTCTTTTGTGGCCAGTCCATTTGCGGCCAGTCCTTTCGTGGCACCCACAGCAGCTGCAATGTGATGTGTGTCGTAGTGTGGCCACTGCTTTCGCGACACCCACAGTAGCTGCGATGTGATATGTGTCGCAGTGTGGCCACTCCTTTCGCGACTCCCACAGCAGCTGCGATGTGATGTGCGTCGCAGTGTGGCCACTCCTTTCGCGACACCCACAGCAGCTGCGATGTGATGTGCGTCGCAGTGTGGCCACTCCTTTCGCGATCAATCCCTTTGCGGCCGGTCCTTTTGCAGCACCCACAGCAGCTGTAATGCGATCTGTGTCGTAGTGTGACCACTCTTTTTGCGATCAGTTCCTTCGCACCTAGTCCTTCTCCAGTGAGTCATTCGTGGCGCCCACAGCAGCTGCAACATGATATGTGCGTAGTGTGGCCACTCCTTTCGCAATCAGTCCCTTCGTGGTCAGTCCTTTTCGGTCAGTCCTTTTGGAGCCAATCCACTTGCGGCCAGTCCATTTGCGGCCAGTCCTTTCGTGGCACCCACAGCAGCTGTAATGTGATGTGTGTCGTAGTGTGGCCACTCCTTTCGTGACACCCACAGCAACTACGAATGTGATGTGTGTCGTAGTGTGGCCGCTTCTTCCGTGATCAGTTCCTTCGGGGTCAGTCCTTTTGCGGCCAGATCTTTCGCGACATCCACAGCAGATGCAATATGATGTGTGTCGTAGTGTGGCCAGTTCTTTTTTGGCCAGTCCTTTCGTAACAACTTGAAAGTTGAAACTTGAAACTTGAAAACTCAATAGACTTCAAGTTTCAAGTTTTACATATATGCGCCCACCCACACTCACACCCACCCACATTCACACTCACACCCACACCTACACCTATCTATCTACCTATCTAACTAAATAAGAAAACTTGTGAAGGTCACTAGCGATGTTCTTTTGACCTCCTATATACCTACCTACCTACCTACCTACCTATCCACCTATATATCTAACTAAATGAGAAAACTTGTTGAGCTCACTGGTGATGTTCTTTTGAACTCCTATTTACCTACCTACCTATTTGCCTACCTACCCACCTACCTATCTAACTGAATGAGAAAACTTGTTGAGCTCACTGATGATGTTCTTTTGACCTCCTATTTACCCACCTACCTATTTACCTACCTACCCATTTACCCACCTACCCATTTACCCATCTACCTATTTACCTACCTACCAACCTACCTATCTAACTAAATAAGAAAACTTGTTGAGCTCACTGGCGATGTTCTTTTGACCTCCTATTTACCCACCTACCTGTCAATCTAACCATATGTGAGAACTTGGTGAGTTCATCAGTGATGTTCTTTTACGTTGGTATGTATCTACCTTTAGGTAAATAGGTAGGTAGGTAAATAGGTGTGTCGAATCCAGTGATAATATCACTGAGATTTGTCATGTATTGATCCATTCCCATCCATTCCAGTCCATTCTCATCCATTCCATCCATTCGAATGCCCGCGAATGAGTTTTTTCCCCCTTGAACCGAATACACTTAATCCAGCATATAATGAAAGTCTTGAATTTGATTTATCAGTTGAATCACTTGAAGATGCTGTTCTTATATTTAAAGTAATTGATTATGATCTTGTTGGTGCAAATGAATTAATTGGTTGTGTTGGTATTGGTGCTCATTTTGATGGTATTAATTATGATCATTGGTTTCAAATGTTAGAACATCCTCGTGTACCAATAATCAAAAGTTATAATTTACATGAAACTATACCAACAATAGCATGTTCAAGTTCACAAACTAGTCATAAAATAATAAATTCGAATAACATTTAAGATGAATGAAGAAAAAAAAATAATAATAAAAGACACATTTTCCGGTGATTTTTTTTGTACAAAAATTTTATTTTATTTTTTCTTCTTTCTTTTCGTGTTTAATGAAAACAAAAAAAAATAAAGACTAAAAAAAATTTATGAAAATTCTTCATCATAATCAATAGAATTTGATAGTTGTTGTTGAGTAGTAGTTGTTGAAGTTTGATTAATAAAATT